CAGCTACTTGACCCTAACTAGAAGTGTCAGATACTGTTGGGTCTTAAGCTTCTCACTTTGCCTGATTTCCACAAGGTCGAACATTAGCCTGACAGTATCACTGCTCAACCGGTTGGGAACACATACAGTCCAGTTTGATCTAAAGTGGGAAGGTCTAGTAAACCATAACCTTAATTTTGCTTTTCTGTCAGACATATGCCTGTTATTTAAATATGGTATTGATCGAATTGAATCTGCAAAGCTGAAACTGTGATTGATACTTCCATATTCAGTTTGGTGCACAGTTCCCAACCTGACTGTCCTGCTTTAGCCAGGTTGTGTAGCTAAAGCAGCAGCTACAGGGAAATTACAGGGAATTACTACAGGGAATTAATTATATTGGTTAATGTAGTCAGTAATTGGTAAATTTGGCTTTTAGCTGTAATATTTTTTTGGAAAACCTTTTTTGGCCTCAGGTTTCAGGTACTTGTAACAAGAAGGGATTAATCATTGATAGCAGTGTTGAATAAATAGATCATTTTAATGCATGGGTCCAGTATGAAAGACGTTTAGGCTGATTTTCCTCAAGAAAGCAAGGGGAAAGTGTTGTGAGAAGAAGTTCATTATCAGTCTGGATTGTGCCTGAGGAGCTTTTACTTTTACATCATTTTTGATCTAATTTCAGTAGTATTATTTAAGTGCTAAGATGTGTAACTGTCAGGTAAAGCCAAATGTTTTTTAATAATTTCAGGATCTCTAACAAGTTGGGTTTTTTTTGGGTTTTTTTTTTCTTTCTGTCATCCACAGGAGACAGTGGCAAAGTGACGACGGTGGTAGCCACACCCGGTCAGGGCCCTGATCGCCCACAGGAAGTGTCCTACACAGACATAAAGGTTATAGGAAATGGCTCGTTTGGAGTGGTCTACCAGGCTCGCCTCATCGACACCCAGGAGATGGTGGCAATTAAGAAAGTTCTCCAAGACAAGAGATTTAAGGTATGCTTAGACAGGCTTACCTGGACAGATAATTACAGTGAAGTAAATGCTAGTTTTTCACCTTGTGCAGTTCACTCACTTTTCCTTCGTCTCTCTTTTCCTTTTGCAGAATAGGGAGCTGCAAATTATGAGAAAATTGGACCACTGCAACATTGTCAGGCTACGTTACTTCTTCTACTCCAGTGGAGAGAAGGTGTGTTTGCACTGACCTGACATTTTACGTTGTATATTGTAGAAACTTAGCAGATGGAGCACTGTACTTCCACGCCCTGGCATTTAATCTTCCATGCATCAGTGATGATTCACAGACATGTTTTGGACAAGCCGATCTTGGTCTTTGTTGTACAATGAATAGTTGAGTACTTGGAGTTGATGGGGTCCAAGCTCTTTATTTGAATCGCTCAGATTATTGTGGTTTTAAAGAGAAATCACAGACTATGCTTGGCACACTTTTTAAATCTCTGAAGACTTGAGCAAATAATACTTGAGCAGATGACTTTGTGACACACTGACTAGTGAATTAATCTTCTGATGCTGTGGGAACAAATGTTTCAGTCCCTGAATTAAGCGATATTCTGTTCTTTTAGTTTTTAGCCAAATCTAGTGTAGAGTCACCATATGACTCAGTCTGCCTCTATCATGTCAAATCTGAAAGTAAAAAAGTTAATAAATTAGCTCTTTGCTGGTGTTATTTCAGCGTTTATAGTTTAATTTACTTTAGAAATATTTACAGCAGCAAAGCAGTAAACTGTGATCACACTCATAATTGCGCATTGGTTTTAGCATTTAAGTCAGCATCCCTCATTGGCCCTCCTCAGGCACACTGAGTGCTGCAGGTACCACTGCTACAAAGAAAGAATTTAAAGTTGTTCCACAGTAACTAGCAGCTTTGACAGCATACAGATGGCTCTTATTTTAACCTCTTTTTAATTCATTGGCTTTGTGGCTACTTGCAACAATCCAGTGCTGGATGGTAGCAGCTGAAAAAGATTCTCCCATGTTGAAGCTTGTTGAACAGGTGGTTTGTGGGACTCTTATTGACTTTTTAGTGTCTAAGGTTTTGATTGTGACCACAGGGATTAGTTCTACTGCTTTTTCTTTTTTGTGGTGACTGCAGCTTCAGGTCAAAGTATGAAAGCGTTGTTGTCCATACTGCTGTATATTTTTTCCAGAAGACCAGAGGCAGAATCTCCTAAAAGTCTTTATTCCCTCTGAGATACATTTTACAATCCACCTGCATCTATTTTTAGCCACAAATGCAAGTGACATTCTCACACTGTTGAGTCAACAACCAGCATTGTCTTCATGCTGTGTTTGCAGTCCCACTAACAAGAGCCTCTATATTTTTGTAGCCTCATATACTGCTTTTAATTTGAAAATAGCAGGAAAATATTGCTCGTTGCTCAAGGTAGCTTTCGTCAGGTTGTTTCACAGGTAAACTTAACTGTGGTTGGTGGAAACACTGTCATTGGGACAATGACGGTCAATCACTTTGTCCGACATACTTATTACTAGCCCCGGGCCATTGGCTGTATTGACTTCTGCTGAAGTGTATCCCCACTGTCTGGTTGTATCAGCTATATCTTTCTTTCTTTCTTTCTTTTTTTTTTACACCCCATGCACAATACACTGTTTCATTACATTCATTTGATCTGGTTTCACTTTTGGGACTTGATTTGAAGTGGTTAAGATTCATTTTCCTCCAGTAATAACACAATCCTCTTTGCTTTTGTTCCTCTTTACCAGAAAGATGAGGTGTATTTGAATCTGGTGCTGGATTACGTCCCCGAGACGGTGTACAGGGTGGCTCGCCACTTCAATAAGGCCAAGACCACCATCCCCATCATCTATGTTAAGGTGGGTAGAAACACACACACACACACACACACACACACACACACACACACACACACTGCTGCTGCTCACGTGAGCATTTCCCGGTCACTGCTATCACCATGTCACTGTATGCATTGAAAAGTGAGTGGTTTATTTATTACTGCCATGTTTAAATCTTGTATATTTCATTTATTAAAAAGGGCATTATAACCATAAAGACATATTGTGAGGTCTGTTTGTGAACGCAGACACACACCACTCTGTTTATCTTCAAACAGAGTTTTTAACTGAGTATCGTTCTCAACCAAGTTGAAGTTTGTAAATGAGGGGATGTTAGAGTTTCAAATTGATACCATGGATGCATCTATTAAAAATCTCTGACAAGTATAAATCCTGGTGACCTTGAATTCAAGGCCAGTGGTAAAGTTTTCTGAAAATCTTGTGAACACGAGAATGAGGGGACGTACGTTTTTCAAAATCTCAGACAAATTAGAATCCTGGCGAACTTGAGGTCAAGGTCAAAGGTCAAAGTTTCTGAAAATCATTAAGGATTAAGGTTTTTTAAATTTAAGCCATTAGTGCACCTACTGGGAGGCTCTTGGAAGCTTTAAAAAAAATCTGTTGGAAACTGGGAGTAAATTTTAGTTCAGTAATTGCTTGTGGATGTAATAAAAACAGGCAGCTCACCGTTTCAGGATTATGAAAGCAGAAAAGAGGAAGGATGGTCCCAAGGGAATTGATTTGTTTGCAGTCTTCTTGGCTGTCTGTTTCGGGTGCTCATTTTGGAGAGTGTTTGTGTGCTTACTGTGTGCGAAGCAGCAGAGGACATTATAGCTGTCTCATGGCCCATTTCCCTACCTCAGCCTCCTGCTCCCCTGTGCCTTTGAGATGCATACTGATCCCTGTCACTCTTTCTTTTCTTTTTTTTCTCTAATCGTCTGTCACCATATGCAGGGTCTTCTCCCCCCTCCATGTCTCCCTTGGTGTCATGTTTGCCATTTCATCTCCTCTTACCTCTCTCTGCCCCCCTTTTAACTATCATCTCTTATCCCTCAGTCATCTTGTCTGCAGTATTTTATAATCTGGCCAGCCTGCTGTCAGTGCATCATGTGGGCAATAATGATGATAATGGAGATGATGACGAATTAAGATGCTTACTGTCTGTGTGTCACAGGCACATTTAATGGGCACACACTTAACTGTGTGGTGAATTTCTCATTCCATAACAACATCATCGACCTCGGGTGTGTAGGCAGATGCCAAATAGGAGCTGGCCGTAGATCTTCAGGGAGTATTTTTCACCCTTGTGTTATTTTGGTATAGAAGCACAACACCACAGGCTGCATGAGATAAACGAACAGCTGCTTCTTTCGACAAACCCCTTTACATTGTGCCCAAAAACAGAATTGGGGCACATGTTGATGTGACCAACATATGGTGAACATCTATACAGAATCAGCTGTGCCTACAGATTAAATCATCCATTTTAGAAAAAGTTTAACAACATTTATTTTGCAGCACAATACACGCTGCCCGGTCTCAGGGCGCAACGTAGAATGCTGATGAGAAAGTGATCTATTTGTTTGGACACAATCTGTCCAGGTTTCTTTTTTTCCCAACAGTCAGCACAATTGTCAGACTAATGGGAAGTATGTTTCCTGTCTGAAGCACGCTTGTCATCCACACTCATCAGCACAGATTTCTCTCCATGGCAACCAAGAAAACAAGCTTTGAACAAAGTGGCAACTGTCGTGTTTTAAACCAAACAATGAGCTCTTTCTGAATCTGAGTAGTTTTTAAATGCATATAAACCTAACAAGCTGGTTAGCTATTGGTAATTAGTAACTTATTTAAAACAACACAATTGACGCATAAGCTTCTGCTCGTTGTAGGAAGTGAACTATGGTCTCTGGTGGAAGCAACACCATCACTAACACCATGTGGACTTTTTCACCCTTTAAATGTGGAAAGTAGGGCTGCCACAAACGATTATTTTGATAGTCGACTAGTCACCGATTATTTTTGCGATTAGTCGACTAATCAGATCATGCATCCATTGGACGTACTGCCCGGTCTACTAGAGGAGAAAAAAAAATTACAGGAACAACAATATAATAACAATAATAACAAAAAAAAACCAAAATAAAATAAAAGGTACTTGATATTTACAAGTTTAGCAGTGGGCAGGGGAAAAAAAAAAAAGAAGAAAAGGGGGAATCTGAAGCCAGAGGGATGAAGACTAGGAGGGATGGAAGGGGGGAGGCTCCAAAAGCTGTTGGATTTCAGGGGTTCGAGCATAATTTCTGGTCAGATTATTACTGATATTAGTGGAAGTAAAACAGCGTGGTCGTCATGGGCTGAACATGCGTGTTGGAAGAGAGGAAACTGGCCACGCCCACAGAGGACTGCCAGCTGCGTGAATCATTCCCGACCATCACCGCATGGCGCGGAGAACATGATATGAGCTTTGCAGGCGGACTTGCTTTGGGAAGGGGCGAAGATGGTTTCAACACTCTGGCGACACACAAAATGAAATCACAGTCATCCTCCAGCACAAACAATAAGCGGCGCCAGTGATGGTGTGAGCGGCGAAAACAGCATTCTTCAACATAATCAGGCTGATACAAACAGCAACATCATTCAAAACACGGCGAGGCACCGAGGCTACTCTGAGATGTAGCCGGAGCCCCCCACCAACATTTGCTTCCCTCTACTCCCTTTTAGAGATGTGCAATACTCACTTGAGAATTAAATTGAAACTCTTGGTTTCCAGCTTAAATGACGACATGAGCTTATACAGAAAAAACTGAAGATGTGCGCTCTGCTCGCACAAAACTCCCTCTCGTTCACGTAAAAGGCAGTGCTGGAGCTAATACTCGAAAACAAACGGTGAACACGGGCTGGGGAGCTCTTCTCTGTAATAAAAATCTAAAACCACCTCTTATCTAAAATGACACGCACAATCTTGAGCCAACACTGTATTCGCTGGGAGATTTTTTTTGTTTCAAATCATTCCTCTGGTGAATCTGTTCACCAGTGGCCTTTGTGAACTGACAACTTAAGTGGAAAGCGACAGACAGTCCACAGAGTTAGCTGTACAGTATAAGTGTGGCATTTTTGACCCCACAAAGGATGATTGTCTACCAGTCGGGCCTTATGCACTAACTAGCCAATCAGGATCCCAATCAATGGCACTGTGGCCACACATAAAATTCAAATAAAATGAACTAAAAAAGAAAAAAAGGGATAAAAGCCAACTGTTGATTATATTACAGATAATCCACATAATATATACAAGCCCCCTCCTCATCTCCTAAACATCCTAAGAGGTCAGACAGCAGCCAACCTGGACTTGGGCCTGCATCCTATAAATAAGCCCAAGCACAACTACCTAAATGTCCTCAACCCATAGCTGCAGGCGCAGCATTTTATTGAAAATGGTTAAATATTCAGGGGAAATAGCAGTGCTGAGTTTTTACGTGGGTGTATCTAGTTTCTTTTCCTTGTATTTTAAGGGTTTGGAGCCAGGAGGAAGGTTGAGAGGGAGAGGAGCAGAGGAAAGTAAAAAGAACATGGGGAAGACAAAACAGAAAATATGACAGAGGGATGAATGCTCAGGTGCTGTTGTTGATGGAGCTAGGTGCTGAGCTGGGCTGGGCGGTACTGTCTGACACACTGCCCTCTGCAGGGGAAAAGAGGAAGCACAAGTTTTAACAATTACAGACACCAGTGCCTTTTTAAATAATAAAAAAAATATATATATATATATATATATTTTTTTTTAAAAAGCCCATTTAATAACGTACCGTGTGATGCAGGCGATGTCTGTGCACGAGCGTGAGGAGGAATGAGTGTGGAGTTCAACTGGGGCTGAATGGACAGCTCTGAGAGAACAGGGCAAAGAAAACATGATTAATGATACTGATACAATATAAATAACAGCTGATAATCTGTGCAAGAAACAGACTGCAGGAAAGAAGAAGAAAAAAAAAAAGGACATGCTGACCAACGGGACTGAAGTTGAATAGGGGCGGAAGTTCTCGCCCGCTGGGGAGGCGGGTGTTCGGCTGGCGCAGCTCATCGAAGAAGGCGTGCGCACATGCCTCCAGTGGCGACAGCCGGGTCACCGGCGTGTATTCCAGCAGTCGAGAGCAGAGAGCAATGGCCTCCGGTGGGGTACGAGGCTTAAACACCTGATAGGAGATAGAAAGAAAATGTATCGATGATCAATACTAGCATGAATTTGGATTAATTAAAATCAGTTTAGTGTGACGTTTTCTCTAAAGAGCAACAGTAACTGCATTCAGAGAGGTAAACCTCTCAACGTCAATATTGTCCAGTAATGGGAGCATACCTTTGTCCAAGGGTGTGCTTTGATCTGTGGGAACTTAAACTCTGTGTAGTTGGGGTTCATCTCCCGGATCTGCTCCCTTGTTGGCGTCCCCAAAACCTGCCAAACAGGAGTGAAATGTTAACATTTATTTGCATTACATTATATAAATGAGTCTGAATCTTGCAACTGTCTGATATGCACTACTTCAGAGATCACAGATGAAACACACTGCATTGGTATTAAGTTAAATGGCAGTCCAGCCTCTTTGCAGACAACCTTGAGATTCCTTTGCATTATATTGCCTCTTATTAATTATTGATGGATTGTTTTGCTTTCCTTTTAGGATGCTGCAAAGCTGTATTGAGATCATTTTTGGACTGGTTCTAGCCCTCAGGCTGTGTTTTGCCTATTTAATACCAGCTATCATCAAATATGAGTACACACCTAATGATTTTAAACAATACAATAAACACATCTCAATATGTGTTGGGGCCTGTCCAACAGTGAGAAGAGGGAGTCTAAGGGGACAACAGCAATATAATAATGGTATGAAAACACAAGAAGGGAAGGGAATTGTTTGCTAGTAAATTAATCCAGTCGTTGTCTGAGGTGGATGAAAAATAAATAAATTGTACAGCTTACCCGGGAAGCCCAGATAGCTAAGTGTGGGAAATGGACTCATACTTCAACCCTGAGTGAACACACCTAAAAGTGCTTTAAAACATGGCATGCATACAAAAATGTATGCATAAATAGTAATACTAATAGGAAAAGATCCTGGTCTTTTCTTTGTTGAGTGGTATTAAACCAAAAGCACTTAAGAGTCACAGGTCATAACAGAAAAGATCATTATCTGAGTTTTTTCATATTCATGAATACGGCTCTGTGTTTGTTCACAATGTGCATCTGTGCATATTTATATTTTCTTCATTCAGAGATGTTTTCTAATATTTAAGTTTGTTAAACACAACAAAATGAAAGGTAGCAGAGCATTACTTTAAGTGCAGATTAAATTCAACATTTTCTAAGACAGAGCTGCTTTTGAAGGACCAAGTTAAAAAAAAATGTTGTGCAGCCCTGACCTCGACCAAGCATGTTTTTTCCTCCATATTTCTTCAATATGCAGTTCCTTTATAAACAATCCTACATTTACAAATATTACAAGGTTCAAGGTTCTTTATTTGTCACATGCATAGTTATACAAGTATCACACGTGAATACACACGATCGACACAAAAACAAAAAACAGGGGAGTGCTCGCGCGGCGCCAAACCCACCGTCAGCCAGACAAGCCCCCGCTCCTCGCAGCTCCCGCAGATTGGGGGGGGGGGGGCCCCGAGCTCGTAGATGCTCCACAGCCCCAGCGGTGGCTCATGTCCCAGCTCCCCAGCCCCTCCACCCACTGTTTACAGCACTCTTATGACCTTGATGATCTCTACTAGCTGGTCCACACCGCTGTCTCCGGGGAAGATGGGCTGACCCAGCAGCAGCTCGGCCAACACACAGCCGGCTGACCAGATGTCAATATTGGACGTGTAGTCGGTGGCACCAAATATGAGCTCTGGGGCACGATAGTACCGCGAGCAAATATAGGAAACATTTGGCTCCCCTCGAACTAGTTGCTTTGCACTGGAGGATTCAGAAAACAGACAGTTCAGGATGAGACTCGCAGTCGGTGTGAACCTTGGATTTGCCAGTGTGTTTGTTTTCAGAGTAGCATGTGAGCGACCCAGACATAAAAAAGGCATGAGTGATCCACACAGGGAAAGCGGAGCCCGAGGAAGAGCGCTACACAAACAGACAGCAAACTAAATATCCACAATGAGACAGAAATGGTCACTACAATGCAAAAATGAAAAATGCAGACAGACAGATCTGCCCGCAGGCGGGAAATGTTACTGACCTGCCAAAGTCACAGAGTTTGAGGATGGCCGATTCTGGGTCCACCAGGAGGTTCTGAGGCTTTATGTCTCTGTGACACACGCCCTGGGAATGGATATAGGCCAGGCTGCGGAACAGCTGGTACATGTACACCTGAGGAGGAGACAGAGACACGATGCCCAACAGTGTTTAACAACTCAGACAAAAATCAAACAAATCTCAAAAAAAAAAAGAAGAGCAATTTAAGAACAAAAGCCATTTATATCTCACTGGAGACGTCCTAGCTACGAGCCACCATCAGGATTCCTGCACCGTTTTCATTTTTCATGTTTTTTAAGACCACATGAAATGCAAGTCAATTTATTTTTAGGACAATATACAAGTTTGAAAGAAAAACAATACAGGCATGACTTAATAAATTAAATGAGATATGAACCGAATAAGTGGAAGAAAATCAATAGATGAATAAAAATAATCAATAAATAATTCATTGTTTTCAGTTTAACAAGTTGTTGCTGCAGGACTGACGACAAAAAAAGAAAAGAATTATTAGCTTCTCTCACAGTGAACTTACACTGCAATTCCATGTTTTATTATAGGCGTGTTATTTCATCCCACAAAGGAGAAGACAGTATTCCTGTCTATCTGGAGAAAAGCAAATTTTTTAGACATTTTAAGAGCAGCCAATTATTTTCACTGCATACATTCTTTTAAATACTAAACTGAAGATTGACAAGCCGGGACGCCCCAGTATCACAAATTTAATGGCTTTGGTGAAGAAAAATAACGTGCTATAAAATCGGAGGAATTTTAAGTGCACACTCTGCATTTAAAAGGATCAGAATGAGTCAAAAACGAAGGTGCAGATGAACCAACACAGTCGCATAGCAGCTTGCTAAATAGCCATGACTGTTAATGTAGTGATATATGATTTTCTTTTTTTACTTTAACGAACTCCTCCTGGGGATTTGGTCCTATAAACTTTTTTTTTTTTTTTTTTGTGTCCCGTTTGGATCTTTAGCCATCAGAATTGTTGTCTTAAGGCCAAGAAAGATGCCAAGCGGATTTATTTTACCAAGTGGATCATCATGGCCTTGCCATATTGGTCCATTTGATTGACCTTTATTATAATTATGAATTTATTTTATTTTCAGTTGCTACAAACGGGACAGACATGACTGGGGGATAGGACAGGGAGAAAGAATGAAAGAAAGAGAGGGAGAGAAAGAAAACCAAAGGGGAGAAGAGACGGTGAGAAGGGGGGGAAGAAAGAAAAAACAAAAACAAAAAACACCTGGGTCACCTGTATGGAGAAAAAAAACAGAAGAGAAAGCAAACAACAAAGAGCAACATAATAAAAAAAACAGCACCATCACAATAAACTAGCTAGCAGTAGATATCAGTAGATACTAAATAATAAACGATATTGTGCAGCACGCAAGATAGACAGCGCACAATGTGCTTTGAGGCAGCAGCCAAGAAAGCTGTAGTCCGCGTCTGTGAATACCCGTGTGTACACCTGTGTGCATACCTGTGTGGATCAGCATGCTTGCATTCCAAAGGTTTCTCCATGTAACGATCTGCTAGGGAGTGTGGGGGCCACAGCCCCGTCCTCCAGGGTATGAAGCAGGTATGGAGGAGATCAAAACTCCAGACATCCAGAGGCCCCCAGAACACAAGAGACCAAGGAAGACCAACAGAGGGGCAGCCGCGCCACTGTCCCAGTAAGAGCTGAGGAGAGTCCCAGATGAGGGCTCACTCAGCAGCCGCGGAGCAGAAGCCAGGGGGAGTTGCAGTGACGCGCCCGTGAGCTCCGCCGGCAGCCAGCTGTGCCTGAGTGACCGAGCCCCAGGCCGAGAGGCCGGGGGCACCCCACCTCCGAAGTGGCCCGAGCGAGCCCCAGGCTCCAGGCCCCGATAAGCGGCCGCCAAGGAGTGAGCCGGTGTGTACCTGGACGCCCACCCCCAGACACAAAGAACCACCAACGCACCGATGTCTGAGGGAGTCCGCCACTGGCAGGGGAAGTGGTGGTGGGGAGATAGGCCTCCAAACCTTGGAGGGCCTGAGATGTCCCCAGAGAGGTGGCGTCTGATACCCAACCTGACATATAGACACAGACATACAGGCACACACAGACACAAACATCCATTCCCACCCTCATGCTCTCATATGCACTTACTCCACACTCAACCAACGTGGAGACAGACATAAAGAGACGCTGTACACACGATCACACTCCCCAAGCGTACTCTACAACCGGGTCTAGGTACCCTTGCCCCTGGAGGGGGGAACTGCACCCAGACCCAGGTGGTGTTACCCTTTTCCCTGCGGTGGGGAGAGGCAGACCGCCCCGACTCCGCAGCAGCAGGGGCCCCTCCAGACCGCAGTCGGACGGCCAACTCCTCCTAGCCCCCCCGCTCCAGCAGGCCGCAGAGAATGGGGGTGAGAGAAGACTCCAAACCTCCCTCCACCCGCTCATTGTAGTGTTGATGCATGTGTGTTCTAAGGTGCATTTAAAACCCAGGAGGGCATGGAGCTACCTGCCAGAGAGCAGCAGGTAAGCGCATAGTCCCTCCTGCTAGCCCTCAATGTCTACGTGTATTTAAAATTGAGAGGTGGGCAACGACGCCAGGGGTGAGGTGTACACCCTGATGGTAATTTGGACTCCGTGTATCGTGCCCACCCCCAAGATCCTATATGTATGTGTAATGAGAGTGTGAGTAATGTGAATGTCTAAGTTGTGGGATAAAATTGAGGCAGAGGCAGCCAGAAGGGGGGGGGGGGGGTTAGCCTCCTCTGCACCCTGGTGACATACCCCTACTCTCCAGCTGCCTCCCTCTTCCCGCTCCACCACAACCACCCACACATGCAGGGCCTTGGAGTGGGGCTATGTCACCAGGGTGCAGAGGAGGCGTTTTCAGAGATGTTTGTTACCCACTAGCTCGATAGCTAGCCGGGGGCAAGGCTCACTAGAGCCCGTGAGAACCCCGGACTCCCGGCAAATCGTTTTCAAACCCACTGCTGTCTTTCGCTACTCAGGTTAAATATATATAAGTCACTTAGATAACTTCAAAATGTTATTGTTTGGCTTTTTTAGTATTTTATTTGTTCCTGAGTAAATCGGTTTGGCTGAGATTAAAGTTATAGTTTTTACACAGCTGATTATCAGAAGTGTGAGATGCTCCGAGAATATACTCCGGTGTCCTGTTATATTTTAGATAGCAAGGAGTTTACTTCACCGAAACAATCTGCAAATTTCATTAAAATTTAATAAACTATCATCTTGTCTTTATTTTTAGTTAGCACATACCTTAAACACTTAAAGCTGTAAGCTAATGATAGTTATATAAGAGCAGATGCTGCTGGTGCAATAAGCTGTATGTTT